TACTACTACTACTACTATTATTTCTCCTACAACAACTGCCACTGTTGCTGCTAGAGCTACAACAGCTATCACTACCACGATTACCAAATTTCAACTGCGGCTACGAGTACTCGTACATGTCTACTGCCTTACTGCATAAATACAGTTCTAGCCCTTCTTCTCTCACTGACAGTGCAAGACCTAGCAGCCCGTCGTCGCTACCACTGCAGCTACCGGTACCATTGCCCCAGGCAGCGTCGTCCTCATGCCAGCGCGGTTTCTGTCCTCCTCATTTCCTTCGCGATCTCCTCACATGGTTGTCGCTTTTCTTGTTGTTGTTCTTGTTGTTGTCGTTGATGATGTTGTTGTTCTAGTAGCCGTCGAGTTAATCGCTGCTGCCGTGTTCCCGCATCTTCAGTGCTTCATTGCTTTACTGTTGGTGGTTGTTGCTTTTCTTTGGCTGCGCATGTGGAGGTTAGTCCAAACTAGAATTCCCTTCATGTGGCTGTCATTGACTAGTACAGACAACAATCGAACAGCCAGGGCATCACCGAGCCGTCTCCGTCGCACAGCGATGGCAGGGATGCCAAGCACACCCATCGGGCAGGGGGTTTCTTCACACCAGGCTTCCGCTTACATCCCCACTGCTTGGGGCAGAAGATTTTCGTTGGATCAAATGGATTTTACTGGTCTGATCAGCGTTGCTACACTAGCCTTGAGAATGCCGTCACAGCTGTCCATCTTGCAGAGATTTTTACGTCAGTCGTGTGATTCATATGGTGACTTGAAATGTGCTTTTGACCCTGCTGCTTTTGCTAAGCCCATCAATGCTCCCGGGTTTAGGAGGATTACTGTGCAGTGCTCAACGTCATGCAACAGCTTCGCGATACCTGCGAGGTAGGTGTTGTGGATGACCGGAGCTTCCCTGCAGTCTGAAGATCACGGGTGCTTGAACAGCTGGATTGTATAAGGTTTTACGGAGTTTTGCGGTATGCTGTATCCATGCTAACATATGGGACGACTGGTTGACTTCTTGAGGCTCGCGTAGTCGACCCTGATTGAGAATTTCAGCTGCTCCGGGACCTCCAATCAACGTCTATTGCAAGTTTCTGCGTGAAATGACAACTCCCGCTGCTGCCCTTTCTGCGGCAGCTGCATCTGTACTTGCAGACAGCATACTAATACGATTACCAGTGCTGAATACTAACACTCATACTAATACTAATGTTACGTGAGATCTCGATCAGAGCCTTCATAGCTTTGAACTCCGGAGTTTAAACGGGCCAATTCCCTGAGTCCTGTAAAATCCAGCAGACAAGCCTTAACTCTAAGCAACCCTGTGGTGAAGTCCTGGAAAATTTCCATATAGCATATGGACTCTAAATCTTGGTGCAAGGCTGCGCGGACACGAAAAAAGAGCTAAACAAAATCACAACCTTGACGAAACCCTGTAGACTCGTGGACAGCCTAAAGCCTAAAGCCCCCCAAACCCTAAAACCCCAAACCCTAAGGCCCTAAACCCTACTTAATCCTCTACCGACCCTATAGGGCCCTAAACCCGAAAGTGTCGGTCCAATTCAACTCGCCGAGGCCCTCCCTTGCCGCCTCCTGCGGATTCCCCACCGGAGGTGTCAGAGTTTACGAGGGGGCGACGGTGTTTTTTCGTCTTTTCGGGCGTTAAGGGTCTTTTTCTAAGTGGTGGGGGTTTTGATTTTGGGGTTTAGTATTTTCGGGGTTAGGGTTTTTCTTAAGTGGTGGGGGTTCTGATTTTGGGTTGAGGGGTTACCCTCGATCACGCCTCCGCAAAACCATCACTTGAACTTTGTCCCTAAAACCCCCTGGTCGCCGCAACATCCCCCAAGCCCAGCCCCAAAGGCTACACCAAAGCTGGAAATTATGCATCCTAAAGTCCAGACCTTAGATCCTGAAACCTCAACCCTAAAATCCTGAAACATTAACCTTGCACCCGCAAGGTGAGTCCGGCCTCTGCTGGCTCTGCGCCGGAGCGGACGGAGGCCAAGACGGAGGAGCCTCGCATCTATGCCCTAAACCCTAAACCGTGCTTTAGTATTCGTCGCCGGTCGTCTGTCGTTGCAGAATGTAGGAACCCGACTAAGAAAGTCAGGGCTGCTACTTTGGTTATCCGTACATGTGCTACCAGTTCGGGTTATAGAAGCACGCAGCTTCACGATCAGTTGCCCTTATCAGTAGAAGCAGTAGTACCTGGTGGTGGCAGTGGTGGTGGCAGTGGTGGTGGTGGTGGTAGTAGTAGTAGTAGTAGTAGTAGTAGTAGTAGTAGTAGTGGTAGTAGTAACAATGATAATGATCATGCTCCAGTGTTCGTTGACGTTGTGGGTTGGGGAGCGAGGGGGCCATCCCGTTCGAGCTGTCACAACCCCAAGAGTCCCGACACACCTTAATTATAATTAGCAAACATACATGAAAAATATACGGCCCATAATGCCCATAATGTTATAAGTCAACGTTATTGCTCAATCAAGGGGCATTGAGCTCTCTGGCACGCCGACCTCGTAAGGAGCCTCAGACGCGGGACGGCTACCCAGGAGAAGCCACAAGCTCTGCCGCTTTTCCGGTGCCTCGGTTTCTGCAAGCCACATGCGACCAAAGCCACAAGACCGGAAACCCTAAATCCGTTTAGGGTGTAGCGCTTAGGGTCCCAGACCCGTGACTCCAGCAAGCTGCGCAAGGTTTTCAATGGCGACTCCTGATCCGTGAAGCCCATTTCGGAATCCGCGAACCCTTCATTTCCGAGCTATGTAGCCAAAAACTGTCGAACTTAGGGAAAGGAGATTGGACAGGAGTGCCGGGCTCGTTAGGGATTTCGCGTTAGGGTTTCGGGGTTTGGGGCTTGAGATTTGTTTGTTTGAGCGGTGCTTGGGGTACAGGTGGCAGAGGTCTTCTTTTCCTTGGATGCAAGTCTCTAATTAGTCATCTACCCTGGCAGTCATACAGTCATTGAACAAACATTCGCCATGATCCTAGGCACTGTAGTCACGGCAGCAAAGCATGGATGTGTATCAGTATCAGATTCGGCATGTTGAGACATGCCAGTGGCATGGCTCGCACTGGTGGCTTGCGCAGTCGGCAGTCGAAGTAACATTGATTTGACAGTTGTAAGACCGTGATAGTAGAAACCAGAAAGTTGCAACATCGCTCTCCTCATGCCCTTAGTAGAATACAGGGATTAAAGGCACTAAGTGCCCTTGCTCCATGCGGTTTGATGTGCTCATTTATGCATACCACTCAAAGCAGAACAGCAGGTAATCCTAATACAATCCACGAGCCCTACAGTCACGCCGCCATCATTTGCACAGGGCTGTCGGACGTAGTTGAGAGGAACCCCCGAATCCAAATCTTCAACTCTAAACCCTAAACCTATTCTGCAATCCCTAAATCCTAAACTCGAAACTCTAAACGCCTAAACCCGGCGATGAATCTCGTGAGAACGGTGATGCAACTGGTGATGGGGAGCCAGTAACCGCTGAGCCTTGGTGTATCCTCCCGGTTCAGAAGCCTTAAAGGCGAAACTCTTAACCCTAAAGCCAGAAACCTTTCAATCCCGAGCTTGGTCCGCGGGTTCTAAGTTTCAAGGGCCCGTCGCCACATCTCGGGCGCAACTGTGCTGCCCGGAGTCTAAACGTAGTGTTTAGGGTAAAGTTTCACTCTGTCCATCAGGGCATATATCGGTCACATCTCAAGCGTGCAGGCAGCCCTTCTGCCAGAAAGTTACAGTTTCTCAAACTAGAAGTTGAGGTCCGGCTGTCGAGAAGGGTTCTCCATTCTGAGACGTGACCGTTTGTGGTGCTTCGGCCAGGAAAACGAACACATCCGGGATGCGTGTGGGTTATGGGTTTGGATGGTGTATTTGGGGCATGTTTTTTCAAGCTTCATGATTGTTTCATAGGGACCCTTGCCATTGATGGCTTTCTATCCCGTGTGTGCCAAGGTAAAGAGCAGGGCAAGACATGACCAACAAACACCCAGGTTACCAAGCCTGGAAAGACTAAGCCGTAAATCGCTCTCCAGGGTCCAAGGCACTGCTTCGTCAATGTCGCGGCCACGAGCACTCAGACAGAAACCTCGAGACTGTCGGGAACTTATTTGGGGTTTAGGCTTCAGGGTTTTGGGCTTAGGCCTTAGGGTTTAGGCTTTAGGATTTAGGGTTTAGTTATTGGGGAAGTCTCCCTCCGACAAGGTTCCTTCACAAGCTTAGGTAGCCCGATACGTTTCCAAACAGGATTCCCTGACGGCAGGCACCGATGGGATTTGAGGAGGGGCTCTTCTTCAAAACCCCAAAGCCTAAACCCGCCAATTTTCAGCTCCAAGCCCCAAGCCCTTAGCCCTCATTTCCAGCTTCTGCCTTCACCCAGGGGTCCCAACCCAAAGCCGTAGCTCCGAGTGGCCCGGATGGAGTCTGCAAGGGGCAGGCTGGAGGCGCCCGCGGTGAAAGGTTGAGGCTCTGGTTTAGGGTTTAGGGCTTAGTTGTAGGGCCTACCCCGAACCCAAATCCCAAGCCTTGACTCCTAAATTCCGAAATCGTGAACCATCGGCCATGGAATCGTCGTAAAAGGCTCGCGGTTCTGCTGGACGGTTTCGTAGTCGGAGGACTCGAGGTTTGTGAGGGATCTCTGAGAAGACTTGAAGTATCTGGATTGCGGCTAAGCCCTAAACCCTAAAACCCTGAACCCGAAGCCCTGGGGCCCTAGGCCTTGGATCAGAAACTGCCCATCAGAAGCTGCGCATCCGAAAACACCCCACATAAGAAACTGCGCATCAGAAACCAACGCGCATCAGAAACCGGCGTGTCAGAAGCGAGTACGTATCAGAAACTGGAGGCGCGTATCAGAAACTGGAGTTTGGAAGCTGGCAGGAGCTTGGAAGCAATGCTGGGGTGGTGAGAAGATCGCAGTCATGACCCAACCGCGATAATGGCATGGCATGGTCTAATGCGTTTTGAGAAGAGCCAGCCATGATGACATCCGTGGTCTAATGCTTTCTGAGACCAGGGCATCTACGGCCCAAGGGTGGGGTGGGGTGGGGGCGGGAGCATGATAACGTCCATGGTCTAATGCATTCTGAGCACCAGCATCCGGGGCCCAACCATGATAATGTGCATGGTCAAATGCGGTCTGGGCACAAAGCATTCAGTGCCCAGCCATGGTAACGTCCATGGTCTCATGCGTTCTGAGCACGGAGCATCCGTGACCCAACCACAATAACGTCCTTGATCTGATGCATTCTGACAAGAGAGCATCCACGGACCAACCATGGTCTGCTGCAATCTGACAAGAGAGCATCCATGGGGGGGGACAATGATACCGTCCGGTCTAACACCTTCTGAGCACAGAGCATCCACGGCCCAACCATGATGACGTCCATGGTTGAATGCCTTCTGAGCCCAGAGCATCCACAGGCTGGCCTGATAACGTGAATGGTCTCATGCGTTCTGAGCATGAAGCATCCATGGCCCAACCACAATATCTTCCTTGATCTGATGCATTCTGACGGCTGACAAGAGAGCATCCATGGGCAGGGTATTATAACGTCCATGGCGTAATGCGATGTAATGCGTTCTGAGCACAGAGCGCCCTACCGTGATACAAACTATGGTCTACTGTGTTCTGAGAACAGAGTACCCATGCCGAACCATGATGACGTCCATGCTCGAATGCGTTCTATATCGTAAGGCTGAACTACAATCGACTGTAAATTTACATTTGCTAAGCTCGTAGAATCTATCTGCCCGTCCCTTGGGTCGCAGCGTTCCATGCAACCGTTCCCTAAATCACGGCTTCTGGTTTCCGAAGGATGCGTCTGGTTTCTGGATCAGCCGTTGTGGTTTTTGAATCAGCCGTTCTGGTTTCCGAATCATGGTGTGGTTTCCGAATCAGTCGATCTGGCACGGTCTGGTTTCTGAATCAGCCGTAGTGGTTTCCGAATCAGCCGTTCTAGTTTCCGCATCATGGCTGGTTTCTGAATCATTGCTGGTTTTTGATTCAGCCGTTCCGGTTACCGATTCAGTCGTCCTGGTTCCTAGGGTCTAACCCGAAAGCATAAGGGGCGCCTTAGGACCTTGAAAGCTCTAGCAACCTTCGCCCCCAAATCCTGACCCGAGGCTTTCGGCCAAAACTCCCAGGACACCCTTAACACCGGGTTCACAGACACGGCCCGGAGCAGGCTCTTGGGTGACATAACTGTATACCCAGATGGGGACTATCAGGGGATAGCATTCCAAACTATTCAGGCCCCTGTATTGGAGCCTGGGAGGTAGAAAGCCAAACGTGTGGTTTTTTTGGTCTGTACTCAGGACCCTAAAAGAGACCCTAATTTAGAGAACTACCCGCTCCTCTGAACCCGCTTCGGAGGAAGTCGTATTCGAGACGCCAGACCCACCGCAGCGAGTCGGTTGACTCGGATAATGGTCTGGTTTGGGGTGGAAGGCTTTGGGGTTTAGGGTTTGAGGGTTTTCCGGTTGAGTTGTTTTTGCTCGGGATTTCTCGAGAAGTTTGGGGTTCAGGTTTAGAGACCACACTCATCACACTCATCGTGCTCATCACACTCATTTGTTGGATGGATTTTCGGGTTTGGGATTTGAGGGTTTTTTCGGGTTCAGGACTCTTGTTCTCAATGGAGCTTTGTCATCCGAGTCAAGCCCATCGTCGTCGTCCTTGCCTCCCCTTGCAAAAAGGGCCAGAGCCCCAAGAGACGCCATGTCCAGAACCCCGAAAACACGCCGCCACAATCCTAAGCAAGACCCAAAAGCGAGATCTAAACCCGAAGCCCCCCGAAAGCCCTACGACCCAAAGTAAACCACAGGAGCCACTCTAGATCCTAAGCCCCAAACCCCTAAACCCTAAACTTAGGGGCGAAACTCCAACCCGCAAACGCCAGAGCTTCTCTCTGGGACCTCTAGAGAGCCGCTAAGGCCGCTCTGCCCGGTTCGGCCTCGAAGGCCCCACGCATCCCGTGTCTTTGTTTTAAACCTTCCCGGGGTTTAGGGTTTAGGGTTTAGGGTTTAGGGTTTAGGGTAGTGTCAGATTCCTTCGGGGTTTTGCGGTCTGGTTTTGGGGGTCTGTGCACATTGGCTGAGTTTCTCTGGGTTTGTCCTGTGCTTCATCTTAACATCGAGGCCTACTCGAGCCCGAGTTCATAGGATCCTTCTTATCAGGGCTTTTCAGGAAGGTGCTCCAGGTGTCTGAAACCCCGGAGGCCTGAACCCGAAACCCCAAATCTTAAACCTAAGGCCTGGGCCCGAACCCTGAAACTTTAAAAAGCCTAGGCCTAAACCTTCCGATTAAATTAGAAGTGGTTGATTCTGGTTGAACGTGGCAAGCTATGCCCCGCAGCTTGAGTTGACGTGCTTCAGAGCGCCGGCCCTTAAAACAAAAGCCCTAGACCTTCAACCTACTTCCTTTCACCCTGGGCAATAAACCTTAACGCCTAATCATTGACCCGCCACCTTCTTGGCTAAGTTCGGCCCCGCCCGCACCGACTTCAAACCGCAAGGCTGTTCTGTAGGGGGTGCTGCACGGATCGAGAGTGGTTTGTGCTAGGGGCCTTGACAATCAGAATACGGTTGCAGCGTAAGTTACAGTGTAGTTATGTGGGGACTATGACCAAATCCTATGATTACTTATTCAGACCTTCATATTGCAGGCCGAAAGGGCGAAACAGCAAGATGTCCCTGTGCTGCGCAAGCCGCATGTAAAAATGTACATGTCTACATGCCTGTTCATACGCATGTAACCCATTGTAATCATAAAGAGCTATGTATCGGTCTGTCTGTCTGTCTGTCTGTCTGTCTGTCTGTCTGTCTGTCTGTCTGTCTGTCTGTCTGTCAATCTGTCTTTCTATCCAGGCTATACGCGGGCGCCGCGGGCTCAGATAGTAGGGGCCTAAACTTTAGCAGTAGCAGATGCATCAAGCAGGTCGCTCTTCCCGGATCGCCTACCAAGGCGAACTCCCTGGCCCCGGTTTGGTGGGACTTTCAGGGTGTCGAAGGGTGTTCAGGGTTCAGGGTTCAGTGTCCCGGGTTTAGGGTTAGGGTATTAGGTTCCCTTCAGATTTTCTTTGGTCGGTAGAGTCCTGGGTTTAAAAGGATCTACGGGCTCAAGGGTTTAGCGCAAAAAGGTAAATGAGCTCCAAGGAGCTTTCCGGGGTCACGCATCCAAGGGTTTAGGGAGGTTTAAGGGTAAGGGTTGTACAAGCATCCTTTCGGTTTCAGTAGTAGGGTTTAGGAGAACGTGACTCCAAGCCCATATTCCCTGAAACCTACGATCTAAACCATCTCATTTTGGCACTGCTCCCCCCCATGAAGCCCAAACCCCCGAACCGTTGAACACTGCTAACCTCCCAAGGCACCCAAACCCAGCAGTTCAGAAGCCGCCAACCTGCCAGGCCTCGACCCAGGAGGCAGCTGGAATGGGGCTTGTGGAGGGTGGTATGGGGATAGCAACGATAATAAGCTGTGTTCGGCGGAGCTTTGGGCTTGTGTCAGGCCTTGAAGGGTGTAGGGTCCAGGGTTTCGGGGTTTCGGGGTTTCGGTTCAGGGTTTGGAGAGATGCTTTGGGCTGTTGGATGATCTCCAGCCCCTAAAATCCTAAAGCCCGACCTGTCCAAGTTTTAGAGAACCTTGTAAACAAGCTGTACAAAGCTTCGCAGAAGCCCTACAAAATCCTATAGAGCCCTGTAGTGCCCGAGACAACTATGTATCGTGCCACCCTAAGACGCGAAACTGTGAGTTCGCAGGGGCTGGACACCTCGGCCCTTCCGGCGCAAGAGGCCCTGAGCAAATTCGCCGCGAAGGAGGCCGCCCAGGCAGGTCCTGCGTGGTTGGGAAGAGGGCTTTACGAGGGTTTGCATTTGTTTTGGTATCTAGGTTCTCTGTGTTAAAGAAGGGTTACTGTTGGAGATTCCGTCAACATCCGTCAACAAGAAGAACAGCGTAAATACAGGTAAGAGCTAAACTACGAAGGCTCATCCGCGTAATCATCATCACCACCGTCACCACCGTCACCACCGTCATTGTCATCATCATCACCACCACCACCACCACCATCATCATAACCATTATTCCCACCTCTCACCGTCATCATTACAGCCATCGCAGTTTCGGGGTTCGGAATTTGGGTGTCGGGTTTGCAGATGCGCCTTCTGCCATGTCTGCGCGAGCCAGATCTGCTTCTCAATGCAGGAAAGCAACAAGACCAATGCAAGCACAAACTAGGGCCTGACATACCCGGAACGTCGTGGCCTTGGTCGAAGCCCCCCAAATCCACCCAAGCCCACGGTAACCTTCAAACCCCGAGCCCGACATGCCAGAACCGTTGAGGATTTAGGAGGCCAAGCTAGCCCGCACTACTCAAGAACCACGCCTCGCGGATGGGGGACCCAAAACGGGCCCGACATGCCTTAACCCTAAACCCCAAGCCCTGGTTGTCCTAGCCATCCGTTTCCTTGTGCTCCTCCTCGGCCGGATGGAGGGCTAACACAGCCAGCGCCGAGGCTCTTTGCATGGGAAGGATCAGTAATCACAGTCTTGGTGTGGCTCTTCAGGGATCAGGGTTTTTTAAAGCCGACAGATCGAGGGCTGCGGAAGGACGGAGGGGCTGACGCTCGTTCCGGACACTACTTGAAGGGTTCTCTTGCTATGCTCCTGCTGCTTCTTTCCCTCTCCATTTCATTTGTTTATCTGTCTAGCTCGCTACTTACTCTGTGCGGCAGTGGTGTAGCCTCCTAAAATTGTCCAATCTTTTGTGCAGCCCTTCTCGGCCTCTGATATCAAATGGCTGCAATCCTTTCCCGAAGTTGAGCAACGCTCAGCGCCTTATGGAGCTGCGTATCAGTGAGTGAGTGAGCTCGCTACGTACCTATCGGCTTATCTGCTTCTCTCTCTCTCTCTGTTGCGTTCTGTGTTGCGTGGACATGGTATTTTCAATAGGTGTATGTTGGCATGAGACTGAGTGTGTGTGTGTGTGTGTTGTGCGTGTGTGCTTTTACATACATATGCGCTTGCACACACCCTGAACGCACAGTCGTCGCTGACCAAGGCTGAGCCACTTCATGCTTCCAATCTCCGGCCGCTAGGCTCTAAGGTCCCTAAACGCCCAAGGCTCTTATCAACCCGTAAATCTGGCAAGCCCAAACCCCATGACTCCCTAAAAATCCCACAAGGCCATGGAGAGGCAGCTGCCCCAGCTGATCTACGAACGCCGGAAGCGGGCAAAGGAGACCGAGGCAGGGCCCAGTTCCGGGTTCCGGGTTTCGGGTTTGAGGTTACACTGCGGACCTTGCTGAGAGTACAATTTTGGGCCTACTCTGTGGAGACTGGCGATAAAAGCACTGCTTCATTTGGGGTTTCGAAGAAGTTTTGCGGTTTTGTGGTTCTAGGGCTTGGCGTCGAGGGTTGAAGGGAGGTTTGAGGGGTTTCGGGTTCGGGCCGTTTTTGGGTTTTGTTTTTGTGAAGGGTTTGCAGGGTTTGAGGTCAGGCGCCCGAAAGACGAAGAACGCCCCCCGCTGCACTCCTGCGTGTCGAGTCCAACTGATTTAACCCTAAAGCCTGAACCGCCTAGGCCCTAAACCTGTAAGCTCTGAAACCTTAAATCGCCGACTACTACGTTTGCTCCGACTGCTTCGACTGCTCTACGACTACTACTAGTGCTCCCACATTGGGGAATGCAGCCACTAAGAGGGCTGCTGCGGTTGAGCATCATACCAACACTGCTGGTCATCCTGATACTGATCTCAGAGAACGCTGCTGACCAAGTCGGCGGACTACTGAGCACACCAAACTGCGGATGACGACGAACTCAAGGCCAGAAGCTCTTACACCTCTAACCCCCGACACTTCGTCGAAGGTCTTGAAGTGCTTCCCGCAGGTGGAGGAATTCCTCCGAGCGAAGGCGAGTTCAGGGTTTCGGGTTCTTAGGGTCCAGGGTTTAGGGTTTTTTTTGGTAGGGTTTAGGCATTCGGGCTGAGAGTTGAGGGGTTCAGGGTTCATGGTTTCAGGTTTTTGGATTTAGGTTTGTAGGGGTTTTGTGTGTAGGTATAGGGGACTTTCGGTTCGGCAGGGTGGGGGATTCTAGGTGTGCTTTTCTCTTTGTACAGGGTTTGCCAGCGTTTATGTTTAAGGGGTTTGAAGGATGCGCTTGCTTTTCTTGGGGTTTGGGGTTGAAGGGTTTCCAAGAGTTTAGGTATTGAAGTCTTTCTCTGATTTTGGCTTTTGGTTGCTATCCGCTTCTCAGGCTTATTCGGCTTCCATAGAGTGGCTGTCATAGAGTCTGTTCAGAACGATCTACGACAAGGGGTCCGAATGGCATCTCCGCTTGTAGTCTATATAAGTAGATGGCAGTTTCCACCACAACCCTACTACTCGTAGTAACAGCCCGATAGTGCACTCACCTTACGGCGGTCACCACCTCGGTGGGTGACGAGTGCGAGTTTTCCGGGTTTCCGACTTTGGGGTTCCGTACCCTAAACCCTAAACCCTAAACCCTAACACCCTAAACCCTAAACCCTAAACCCTAAACCCTAAACCCTAACACCCTAAACCCTAACACCCTAAACCCTTAGGGGTTCCTGCTGGCTTTGAGGTTGCTATATTTTTTCGGGTTGCACCCCTAAACCCTCCAGGCTGAAAAAACCCTAAAGCCGCCCAACCCTAGCCCCCCCAAAAGCCTGAACCCTGAACCCCTAAAGCCCCCATACCCTCAAAACCCTAAAACCTCAACCCTAAACCTTAAACCCTGAACCTTGGACCCGGAACCCTGAACCCTGAACCCTAAACCCTAAACCCCTAACCCTGTACCCTAAACCCGTAAAACCTTCAACTCCGGAGCCCCGAACCCGAATCGATCCCTCCATCCGGAATCCTCTGCTCACCGACAGACTCCAAACTCCGAAGCGCCAAAAACCCTTAAATCCTAAGCCCACGAGCTTCAGCTCGTTATTATCACCATACTTATTATGGCTGCAAATGCTGTTGTTATTGTGACTGTCACGCGTATAACTTGAAGCAACAACTACTACTACAATTGCTATTGTAAGCACCAGCATTGCCAACGCACGCATCTTGGCAGGAGGTGATCTGCCAGCGCGTGCGCCTGCAGCGCACCTTCCTGCACCTTCACCAGGTTTCGGGCTTAGTGGGGTTGGGAGTTTAGGGTTTGAAGGTTCAGGAGTTTCGGGATGTAGGGTTTGGGGAGGTCGAGGCTTTAGGTCTTAGGTTTTGGCATTTGGGGCTCGGGCTCCCCTAGCTCCGCTCAGCGGCTACTGCCACGAAGACGGCTACTAGCGGCTACTATGAACTAAACAGTCTTTTGGTTTCTTGCCGGTGATTGTCGGAATTTGTCGACTCGTTGAAACAGGGCTCTCCAGTACCGGTGTGGTGGTGACGCTCCCTGACTCCCGGAAGCCCTTCAATCCCTGAGCCGGGAAACTCTACTGTAAACCCGCAAGTCCCAAAACGAAACTTCAAACCACCCAAACCCGATAATTGTCCTAGACACTAAGCCGCCAATCCCTTTCTGTTTTCATAGCTTCGAAGCTCTAAACCCTAAACCCTAACGCTGACGCCCATGTAATGATGAAATGCAACCGGCCCCAGGACGTCGGCCCCGCTACGAAAAAGCGGAAGTCGCTCCGCTGAAGTTTTCAGTAGGGTTTAGGGTTTAGGGTTTGGGGTGTGTGGCTGTAGAGGTTTAGAAAGTTCGGGGTTTAGGTTTTTATGTCAGGCTAAGGGTGGTCGGGCCTGTGTGTTTGTTGGTTGAGAGGCTGAGGGTTTAGATTTTAATTTTGGAGGTTCGGGCTGCGCAGGTCTTGAGCTTGTAGGGTTATCGGTAAGAGGGTTGAGCGTGGTAGGCTTTAGCAATTGACACCCTACACCGTAAACCAACAAAAATGTCATCGTGTTCTGCAAGCTTCCTGCCTCTTGGGTTTCGATCACGGGGCTGGTCCACCGTCCTTATTGGTCGCTAAGGACGCATGTGCCAGTTTTGTCTACTGTAAGCTTTAGCCCGAAAGTTACCATTCAGCAACCCCTTTGTGGCCTCAGTACATGCTACATAGTTAAACGGATCCTCTTTTTGTCCATCTTGGCCTCAGTGAGCATGTCCCACCCCCGAAGAGCCGAGTTTCGCCATTTAGGGTTTAAGGGGTGTTTCGGGTTTAGGGTTTGGGGTGTAGGCGATGGCTCAAGGAATGTCACTGCAAAGTACCAGTACCTGAAGGCCTTCCTGAACCCTAGACCCACTCCATCCACTGCTACGTCCCTGACCGGAAGCCTTGAAAACATAGGACCCAGATCTCATGCCGCCATGTGCAACCCGATGCAACTGCACGTTCAATCTGAAGCTCCTGCATTGGGCCCATTGTAAGCAATGGTAACATATGATCCCAACACCCAGCATCTCCGAATTCCTACTTGCATCTACGTTGCCCCGCGCTCCAACCCCCAAACCCCAGCCTCAATGGTCAAGAGCTCAAAGCTTCGAACCAGAAGGCCACTGCTACCTGGTACCTTGAGCATTAAGCCCTAAACCCTAAACACCCAAAGCATTGCTTGCACAACTTTTACCACGTTTATGAAAGGATTATCAGGCGCGAAAAGCTCCTACACCCGTAAACCCTAAAACGGATTGCTCGAGCCCCCGATACTTGAGGAAGCAAGCGGCTGTGGCACAGCCGGGGGAGGCCCACATTTGGGTTTCGTGGGTTCTGCCTTTAATTGGCTTGCCATTTTACTTAACTGTCGTATAGACTGCACAGGTATACATAATATGTATATATGCGCATACACACACTTACGGACATACATACAT